GACGCCAAACTCTTCATCCTTCAATATTACCAAACCAAAGAACAGAATAAAAAATCCCACAACCATATATCAGAAAAACTATCTCACCGGACAAACCGGACCTTGATAACACAAGACAAATTGCATTTCTGAAATGTCTGAAACATATCCCAATCTTAAATAAGGAAGCATCTCCAAAATAGCCTCTTTTTCTCTTCCCACATATATCTGGATTGATAAGTAATGTAGCAATTTAACAACATCAACAACCAATCAAGTGAAGTCCTCCACGTGGGATCCACACAGACCTTACCCCTACCTATATAATAAGGTAGAGAGGTTGTTTCTGAAAGATACCCTGCTCAAAAGACAAAACAAACTGAGAATATGAATGCTAAGCAAAGTTTACATAAAAAGCTTGCACAGCTGATTTTCCATTCCTTTGGGCAGCCAATCTCTTGTCTTGATATTGAGGATCATCTGTATTCAATGCCACCTGTCAGAGTGAAAACTCATTATTAGAAATTGAAAATATTTATATGAAGTTTGAAAGGACAGTAAAAGTGGAAAATTACCTCAACAGTGACTCTGTCATAAGGATTGTCTTCATCAACAAAACCATAGTTTATTAGCAATTTTGAATTAGGCTGTGGTCCGCACCTAGAAATACGTATCATTTTATGTTTTAAAAGCAAATCACATTGTATTGGAATGTCGAAACCAACAAAAGTGCCAATTAGATATGTGATGCATAATTGCCTAATTGCCTTAAGAGAACGACACAGAGGTGCAAAAGATTTGGTGTGATAATTTGAAACGTTAACAGAGCTCATACCAAACAGCAATTGGTTCCCCAGTCTTGTATGGACGATCAACAACAAGTTGCACGGCACCATCAACAGCCGCTAACATTGTTTTGCAGTTGCTGCTATATGATAGTAATGGTGGTCCTAGAGGAACTAGTGCAAATCTTCTAGCAAGACTAACTTTCTGCACACAAAGAATATTGTAAGCTTCAACAAGATAAGGTGTAAAATATGCTGTTTTGGGCATTGAGTTATCCGGGCTGAGCTGAACCAAACCCACACTCAAACTCATAACTATTAGTGTCCTACATAACAAACTGAATATGTAAAAAGACATTTCCCCTGGTTTTCTTATGTGTTAGCCTTTTCCATCATCTCCAATGGAGCCAAAGATTCACTACTGTTTTGCTTTGGGGTTCTGTAAGTTTTTTTGCATTTAATACATGTATTATACACTTGTGCGTATAAGAAGTGTATTACACTCCCGAATACAAATCTTTCATGTGACAAGCGTATAATACACATATTTTTTACCCCAACCGTATTTACGAGTTTTATACGTATGAAATTGTCAAAATCAATAAAAGCCTTCTTCAATCTCCTAATACTAAGATAGACTGAAAGATCTCCTTTAAATACACATGAAAAAGTTGAATAAACTATAAATCTTAGTGTTGGTTGAATATTTTGAACTTTTATGTAGTATATGTATTCAATTTCAAAGTTTAAATTGTCTTCTTGTTAAAAAAGTGCACTCATTATAAGTCATATTTCTGAGAAATCAAACTTATAAAACACGAACATATTCGTATATGTACTCCAAACTTACGAAGCGTATAATAAAAGATATTTTAAAAATGTAATTTGTATTATACATGAACGTACAAATAAAGCAGTATACCTGTACCCCAGAGGCGGATCCAGAAATCTCGAACCATGGGGTCCCGATTTAAGTTTTTGTTATTCAAATAAAATTTCATTTAAAACAAACTAAAAATATGTACTATTTGAATGACATTCTAAATTTAATAATCAAGTAGATTTTTTATAGTCATAAATTTTGCATTGGAAAACCCTTAAAGGATAAAATTTGTTATAGTATCCACAACCACAAGTTTAATCTTCTAGTTGAATTTGTTCATTGGCATGATATCAAAGTTTTACTGACCTAGAGAAATAATTTGAATATATTTTGAAGAGAAATAAATATTTTGTAAATTAAGTCATTTTTTAAAAAAGAGAAAGAAAATAGTAAAAAAAATATTTTTGAATGAATATATAAAAAAAGTGAAAAAACTTTGAGAGGAGTTAGGTATAATTCAATTAACCTACTTAAGATGTGTTTTTTTGTCTTTGCTATGGATGGTTTTCTTTGCGGAGTACTAAAAAAGGAACACTAAAAAAATTAAAAGAGAAAAATTGCTCATGTTTTAACTTACTTAAGATGTGTTTTTTTTTGTCTTTGCTATGTAGGGAGTACTAAAAAAGAATAGTAAAAAAACTAATAAAGAAAAAATCGCTCAAGTTTGATAAAAGGAGGGATCGAACACACATCAATTTGAAAACTGCCACACGCGTCTGACCACTCGAGCACATAGACCACGTCTTTTACCAGCGCTTTTCATTATATATATAACAATATTCAAAAAATACCTAATACATATAAGATCCTACGTGGAGGTCCGTGGGGTCCCGGGACCCCATAGGACTCCAAGTGGATCCGCCTCTGCTGTACCCGAATAAGCTAACAGAGCTTTGGCTATGATGGAATAAAGAAAAATGACTCTTTAAACCATATGTGCTTTGTTCAATAGTGAAGTGGCAGTTAGTCAATGCAACTTCTGATGCTCATCATAGGTCATCCATTAACAACCGTTCTATGTTTTAAACATAGGGATCAAGTTAAGTTATCCGGATTAGGTTACGTAGATCTGACACCCCCCCTACCTCGCAATGGGCGGGCCATCAGGTAATGTTGTTATTGTTGTTGTTGTTTCTTATGTGTGGGCCAAAACCATGGATCAAAAGAGCAGACAACATCAATATCATTTTCCACCTTAATTAATAAGTGAAGAGACAATTTTAATTCTCTTTTCTTCATAGTGGCCGAACCAAGGAAGGAAAAGAGAGACAAAACAAGAAAACTGCAATGTCTAGATTCTGACCTTTCTCAAAAAGCATCTTTATCTTTATTTATTTCTAAATTTACCTAGTTTTTGATTTTTACTGTCTTTAGTTTTTCTTTGTAATAATGATTATGATTATGTTTCTTCCCCTCCCCTTATAAATATCGGCCCCATGGCCATTGTAAAAAGAAGATGATATAAGATGTTGAAGTCTCTATAAAGTATGAAGCTCTTAGAGTGTTTCATGAAATAGTGTGATACTATTTTGCCCGAACCCCTAATTTCTATGTCTTGAGAGTGATTCTCTTGAGTGTGAGTCATGGTTTTAAAAGGCAACCGAGGTGGTCCGCCTCAAAGCGGTGAGGTGGTAAGGCAGTTGCATTTTGCCTCCGAGGCAAGCCTCAGTAAGGATACCTAAGGATACCTGAGGCGTACGCCTCACAATGTTGAGGCGGTAAGGCGTAACCGAGGCGTAAGCCTCACTTTTAATAAAAATTTCAACAATTATAAGGGTTATTTTTAAAAAGCTATTGGCCCTCTTTTACAAAAACTCTTTTGGGCCAATGCACTATATAGTTTCTTAAGAAAAACTTAATAAACCTAATAGATAGTTAACACTTCTTTCCAAGACTTCAACATCAACTTTCGTCTCTCCATCTTCAACCGTACTTCTCTCCATCTTCAGACTTTAGTGGCACAAATCTGCCGGCAATCAAAATCTGTAAGGTTCCGCACTCAATTCAACGTAGTCTTCAGATGATTCGCCGGCAGATTGGTACGACGGAGTATCAGCGGAGAAAATCGGAGTACTGCCATAGACGTCGTCGTCAAATGGCATCGTCGTCTGATCTCCGTCTTAAAGGCGTAAAGCCTTGATGCCATATTGCCGTAGATGGAGGCGGATTAGGCGATTAGGGATTAGATTCACAAAAGAGACACTGAGACAGCAACACTATATTTGGGATGGGCGGTCATTAATTGGGTTTTGGACTGGGCTTTGTTCCTTGAATTGATAGATTGGGCTTACAAATATAAAATATACATAATTACATATATTGGGCTCGGTTTTTCGATCGGGTTCAGTTAATACTGCCCGGAACCGAAACCGAAATCGAAAACCCGAATTAACCGACTCCTATATATACTAAAATCGAAACCGAAACCGAAACCAAAATTTCGGTCAGATCGGCTAAATTGATTCGGTTTATCGGTCGGTTCGGTTAAATTGCTCACCCCTAGTCACCACCTACCCTCGGGTACAACATTTAGTATGAATGCACAACTTTGATGTTTTTCCTAAGTCTCGACAATTACCTAGAGGACCAATGACGCCAACGTTGCAAAAACAAGGCAATTTGAAACTTTTCCAGAATATTTCAGCCGTAAAGAATTGCTTACATAGGAAGGTATATTATTTTCGAGTGAGTTTTTCATGGAAACAAATTCAACTTGTTATCTTCAAAGTTGTAGTTAGGGAGATATGCCCTTTCAAAGTTGACAATGTTGTTCTGCCAAAATTCTATCTAGATTATTATTTGGTCTCCAACAAAATGGCAAACGATTTTCAATCCTCACTTTTTGATTTGTTAGTATACTTCCCTATCAAACTTTGAGAGTTCGTCTAACATCATTCTGACATCTGATTGAGAAGATATGAGGTCCCAAAGTCAAGACAGAACTCTGAAGATTCTTATGGAAAATGCAGCAGCAATGCATGGCTCAAGTGCGCATTGTTACATGTGGTGTGGCTACAGTCATGACTACATGATGTGCACAAACAAAGGTGTCATCCAGAACAAAGAATATATGATGATCAAAGGGAGATTGAACAAACAAATGCCAAGATGGGATGAAGACGAAGATTACAGAAACGTCATCGATTTTTATGTTGAAGATAAAGAAGACATCTTCATAGAAGAACTAACTTCCAACACACCGGAGAAATCAAATCATTCTTCATCAGTTAATGATTATGATTCTTTACCTATTTATGATTATGTCAGTCATTGATGCCGAGGAGGATTTACCGGATTTTACAAAATCCAAGTGATTTTCAGGGAAAATCATAATTCATTCAGTAAAGAGCAATCTCATCCCATCAATGAGTTATTTGCGAAAAAGGCTCCAGTCAAGAAGTGTACATGGTCCCAGAGACTACACAAGAAAGTGCAAACGGACTCGAGATGAACCTCATGACTGTTGGTTCATGTTGTTTCTCATTGGATCTTGGAATTAAATGTTGACCACAACATATTAATCCTCCACGTTGGTACAAAATGTTTAAAGTCAAACGTTTTTGAAGATGAGACAACTTACCTTCTCTTTTCTACATAGTGGCCAAACCACGGAAGAAAAAAGAGCCAAAAATGAAAGGTACAAAGTCTAGATTAGTACCTTTGTCAAAAAGCATCTTTTTCTTTATTTTCAAATTTACCTAGCTTTTGATTTTTTACTTTTGTCTAGATTTTCCTTTGTAATAATCATCATGTTTCTTCGCCCATTAGTACCTTTGTCAAAAAGCATCTTTATCTTTATTTTCAAATTTACCTAGCATTTGATTTTTACTTTTTTCTAGTTTTCCTTTGTAATAATGATCATGTTTCTTCCCCCTCCCCTTATAAATATCGACCCTATGGCCATTGTAAAATGAATTTGATATAAGATGTTGAGGTTTAAATGAAGTGTGATGCTCTTTGAGTGTTTCATGAAATAATGAGATGCTATTTTGCTCAAAAAATCCCTAATTTCTATCTCTTGAGGGTGGTTCTCTTGAGTGTGAGTGTTAGGTTCTAGTTAATTAATTATTAGTGATTCTTAATTAAATTTTAGAGTTAACCATAAGTTAGATTTGAGTGCGTTATTTCTCATTTATATCTCATATCTGAGATTAGTTTTTCCCTAATAAAAAAACTTAAAAATATTACTTCTCCTCTCAACTTCCTACACATTTCCTTGTCACCTCCTACAATCGAGTACAACAAACATGGTGGAGAAGGATGAATGTCACAGCCTCACAGAATTATCACTCCAAACTATTGATATTATTAATGGATAGAAACCCTCTATTTCTGCACACCCAAGAGTCATGGTTATGCAGAATAAGCAGCTATGCAGCAGTTTTCTAGTAATATTCAGATATGATTGTAAATCTGAGAAAAAATAGGTTTTGTTATTTATTTTCTTAAGTGTTAAAATATTTGGGTTTTCCTATTCTACATAGGAAGTTGTGCTCTAAATAGGAATAGCTAAATGAGGTTTAGACTCCCTCAATCCATTCAATCATTCAACGAACTACTTTATGATGATGGAAATTACAGTGAAAATTCATGTGCCTCCCTCAATTTACACAACTTTGGGCTGGGAACTTTGTGCCTTGCAATGATGTGATGTGTTGCAGTTTGATAGGTTCTATAGGGCATTGATGCCAAGTTTTCTGAATTTGAAATTGATGGCAGTTAGGTTCCATTTCATGTATGTGGAGGTGAGCTCAAATTCTCCAGTTAATCATCCAAAAAATATTTGTTTTGATTAGTTTATTTTCTCATTGTTTGCAAAATGACCTCCCCAACTCCATTATTCACCCTTTTATAAGAGTGTTGATTTCTTGTCTAACCACTGCTAATGCGGTGGTTAATTCCTATCTAGTTAATCCTACTCTCCTCTCTATGATTTCAAACTAGAAAAATAGTCCAATAATATTGTTAGGACACATCACTGGGAAAGATCCTCTGAATGTTCTCTGCTCCATGGATTCGGAAATGGGGGATAAGAGAATATGTCTCTAATTCTCCTTATCCAAGATTCTCCCTTGTGCAGACAGTGGATTGTCATCTAAAGGAGAGGGGCCTGGGGGGGTTGGGGTGGGGTGCAGGGGTGGCAGGCTAGGGTGTAAGCATTTGAGAGGGGTGGTTAGGGGGGTAGAACCTACCTTGGGATCAAACGGAACACCGTAGCGACCTTAAATAGGCCCAATTTTAATGACATTGAAATTCAATGTCATGCCTCCCTACTTTCGAGTAGGGTAAGGTTTGCGTACACATACCCTACTTTCGTAGGATTCAACTGGGTGGTTGTTGTTGTTTGTTGAAATTCAATGTCAAAAGAACGGTGGTGCTATTATTACAAATGTTGTCGTTACTACTATTATCGGGACAATGGCACAACACATCAGTGAAAATATCCTTCTTTGACAGGCAGCCTATCGGCTGCAGGTAAAAAAGATCTAATTTCTGTTTTTTATGGATTAGGAGGCTAAGGTAATACTCTACATATGCTAGGGGGGGGCCAATAATTTAATCCTGAAACATTTTGGGGATTGGGGGGCTTATTTATCATTTCCCCAATTATCTCTTACAATAGCCCAAATTGCACTGGGCAGTCCTCTCTCCGATATATAGAATCAAAAGTTAAAAAAATGAACATCAATTTAACCTGCAAATGCACAACACTGGATTGGACTGCAACAAAAGCTTGCTTGAAAATCTCAAAGGAAAATGCTTCTGTTGGTATATCATATGGATATTGCTGCATATAACCACCAAACAATCAGTATCAAGATTAAGTTCACTAATGCAAAGAGACGGAGAAGGATGAAATGTACCCAAATTTAAAAGTATAAACCACGAAATATGGACCTGAAAAAGTGATCCAGCCATGAACCATACTGTATCAAGCTCATTGTATTCTCTCTTGATTCCTTCCTCTCTCTCAAGAACATCACGCTTAGTGATCAAAACATGCATTTCAGAACTGTAAACCCAAAGAAATTGCGTTTTGAGCAAAGTCTCAACACACAACAGATAGGAGTTTCAAGTACCTTTGTTGGACTCCCTGTTAGGAAATTGAGTTCTGCTTCTGACCACAGAAGAGGCGACTCAACAGCTAACTGTCCCCTGCCTCGTTGACGGTCAAGCTCTTTAATATATGGGTACCAAAAGGATTCTTTCCCTTGCTTCTTTTCATACATGATATATAGTGCCAAACAAGCTAGTTCTGATAATTTGTTCGTTGTCAAAAGTTCAGCTGCACCAAATATTGTAAGGAGTCAACTTAGTATAAACATATTGTGTCATTTAGAGGTCTTTGTGCCCCCATTGAAGCACAAATTTAAACATGGATGCGTTCAATAACCAATAGTAACATCGAACAAACATGGATGAGATTCCAACACCTTACCAACAATCTCGTTTCCTAAAACCCTCTCCAGGGTTACAACCAAAAGATTTGGTACAGAAAATGCAATATCACCTGTCTAAGCAAACAAAAAATAAATAAATTAAGGAAACAGAGATGGTAACATCACAATCAAGAAGCGACCCTTCCACTATGCACCTGAAGATCATCGTTAGCGGCAACAAAGTGTATGGGGCAATGGTTAACATTGTGCGAGGGCCTCTCCTTAAGCACGACCTTGCAAGGAGGGAGTCCGTTCTTGTGCATCCAGGTTGTTAAGTCACTGAGCACTTCTTCCTTTACAGTGACAACATCGTGCAGTTTCCGATTCTCCTTGGGTGAACCAGCAACGAGGGTTTTAAAGTTCGAAGCTGAGCACCTCTTATTCCAAATGTGTAAATGGATTCTATTAGAATTGATGAGCGATGAATCGGAGACCCTAGAATCAACTAGACGAGGGTGATGTTGGGAAGAAGAACAATACGGATACGAAGTGCATTTAGTTTGAAGATAAGCCACGTCCATGGAGCAAGACTTTCAATCCTGTACTTGTTGCATTATATGTATAGATTATAGAATAGAATATTCCGGAGTAATGATGGTCTAGGGTTCACGCAAGGCTTTACTAGTTGGTATATGGTACATGCTGATGGGGATGTACTTAGGAATAGGTACAGGTAGTACTCATTTTGAAATAAAGTAGTACTCATTCTCGTACAAATGTAAACATTCATTTTGAAATACGTAGTACTCATTCTGGCAAAGGTAGTACTCATTTTAAAATAAAGAAGTACTCATTTTTATACATTTGTCTAACATAATTATAATAAATAGCATAGTGTTCATTCTTAAAAAAACAATACTCATTATCAAATAAGGAAATGTTCATTCTGAAATAAAGTATTGTTCAATTTTTTCACAATTAAAAAGCTCAGTACCATCATTAACTTCTTCCTCTATTGGATTTGTTCCTACTCGTTTATACTCTCTGAGCATGGAGAATTTAAAACATAGGTTTATTCATGTTTGTATTGAATAAGAATATGATAATTTTCAAATCTGCTGGTACTCATTGTCATATATAATAGTTCTCATACATATGTTCTGGGCATTGGATAAAAAGTTTGCAAAATTTACAAAAATACCAGAATGTACCTAAAGGAAGGTACAGCTGGACGTACCATATAATTTGCCGAGGCTTTACTGTTTGGACAAAAAAATAGATTTAAAAATAAAAATGAAAAGTAAAAATATTACTCTCTCCGTCCATGTATGATCTTCCAATTACGCGTTACGAGGCTTGACCGACTTTATTTTCAATTCAATTTAATTGATTATAGGGGTAAAATTTTAAAATAAAATTTATATAGTAATAAACTACATGAAAAGTTCTACAAAACTAGAGGTGATAAGACTATATTATTTTATGAAATAACTAATAAAATTAAGCAAACAAAGTGAGTAAAGTTTGACCCTGTGAATAGTGTCTGCGAAGATCTATGGTGGGCAGCGGGAGTATAAAATTGTAAAAAAAAATTCCTTTCTCTCCCAACCAAACAAGGGGATAGAAATCCTTATTATCTCTTCCCATTCTCTCGCATTCATTCTCTCCTTCCATCTTTTCCAACCAAACAAACCATAAGTATATAGATGAACAGACTAAATTTAATAAAGGAGTAGAAAGAAAATAAAAATAATGAGCTCCATTCCTGAGGGTCTCTTCATACGCGGCTAAACAATCACTGAAAGAAGATAAATTAAACTTTAAAGGGTTGTGTGTGAATAAGAATAATATAGATTGAATATATGCCTCTCGTATATTTGTATTATCTTCTTTCAGCTTGGGTTACAATGGAGGACTCATCTTCTATTTATACCCTAACGCTACTACGTACATGGTATGTAATTCATGCGTTACATTATCGGGTTGATTGGCTATCGTGCGTCAATTGTGGACGAAGAATCAATCATCAATCGTTCCTCAATCCCATAATCAGGGAGATTGCACTCTCCTTATACTTCGTGACCAATCTGCCTCCGTGGGCTAGGCCTGATCAATTACCTCGTTCCATCCTTGGGTTCTTCCTATTCTTATAATCCGTATATGGGCTTTATCTCTGTTGGGCTCTGGATAACATGCTTGGGCTTTTTCGGGTCCATTTTATAAACCCGATACCCATCACTAGGAATCGAACTCGGGTCTACTCCTTGGCACTCTTTGCCTTTACCAATTGCACAATGCGTACTGGATAAAGTGGAAAGAGAAGGACAATGAAGAAGAGGAAGGAAGGGTATTTTATGTTTGAATTGGATATTTTGTACTACCTTCGTCCTAGAGTATTTGTCCACTTTCATTTTTACACACCATCCAATACACTTCTTTAATCCATTTTATCTTGTAATTTGTATATTAAAAAATTATAAAGATTATATATTAATAATCTATATGTTAAGACAAATCAAACAAGATCACTCATGACTATATTTAGGCTTACACATTGAGAAAATTTGATGAGTCAAAGTGCTTAAATGAAGAGTTCCAAAAGTCAAAACTGGACGAATACTCCGAGACGGAGGGAGTAATAAAAAAACATCCTCTGTATAAAGGGAAGGGAAAGTGACTTCTACGAACTAAGGCAAAGGGGCTTCTTCTCGGCCTTCTTCTTCGTCAGGTTCTGTCCGTAACAGAGTTTGTTCTACGACGACATGCTAAGGTTCTAGTGAAGCTTCTTCCTTGACGGAGCTTCTTCTCCAAAGGCAAGCTAGGGTCCCGGCAAAGCTTCTTCCTCGGTGGAGCATGCTTCTAATTCAGTAGCAAGCTAGGTTTGATGAAGCGTCTTCTCAGGTGTCAAGCTTCTTCTAGCATCAGAGCTTTTTCTTCAACATCTAGCTTTTTCTGGCGGCAAGGCTTTTTCTTTTGGCGAAACGTCTTTTCCGGCAACTAGGGCAACACAGTTGTCGATTAGGAATTGAGTTATATTAAAAGTGAATGTTAATAACCTAAATCTTCTAAACATTTAGGAGGGTGTATTCAATCCGGATTTTAAAAGCTTTTGATTGACTGTTCAAAATCTATAGATTATATAAAATCAACAAATTATTTTAAGTTTGTGCAGAGTCTGATAGATATTAATATATTTTTCAATAGAATTTTGTATGATTGTTTATTATCCATTATTACTTTTTTATTCTTCTCTTTTTCTGTTTCTCAGCTTTTCTTCCTCTTCTCTGGTGCGTTCCTTATTCTTCTCCTTTCTCCTTCTTTCTTTTTTTCTTTCTTTTTCTTTCTCCTTTTCGATCTTCATCTTCTCTCCTCTGTTGCTCCTTTCTCCAATGGCTCCATCGACATGGATAATGTCCAGGACAAGTACAAGTAGTACTGGTCCTTCTTTCGACGCCCCAAGGAGATTGAGACCGCCCACAAGGTCCCCCCCCTTTGTCGACACCTTCTACAACCTCGTCACGGACATTTGGGGCCAATCCTTCCACTTCCCCCCCCCCTCCATCTAGGGGAAATCCCATCGCAACGCGACCTGAACACATGAAGAGATTGTTACGTATGTAACCCTAGGCACAGGAATGAAGAAGGAGAAGGAGAGTTGGCGCAGGAGAGTTACGCCAGAGGAGAAAGAATAGGGTTTTTTAGATAGAGACTAAACTATTCTTGTTATTATTTTTAGAGTAAAACATCCCTATTTATAATAACAAAGAGTCCTAATCCTGTTGGTTCAATAAAGGTGTCAAGGGAAAGAACCGAAAAGAAAACCCTTGAAGGAGCTTATAACACGCTCACCTAAAGAAAATCTACGTTACAAAAAGGAAATTAAATGAAATAAATGAATATGAATTAATTAAATATAATCCTTGAGCCGTGCTGGAGTCCTAGTCGTACAACCAGACCTTTGTGGCACAAACTCCTTGTTGCCATCCAACTCTTGTTCCGCTTCCAACTCTTGTTCCGTAACATTGCCCGTTGCTTCAGGAACGTCCTTGTCCTCAAGGACCAAACTCGGATACCTCTACAGGATAGTCCCAACGGGTTCCCAAGAAGCACTACTTAAATCATCGTCCGACTAAACAACCAACCATTGCTCTTGTGGTTCCCCCCGAACAAGTGTAGTATGCGCTTTAACGGCTCGGACAGGCGTGGAAACCGGTGACCCTTGCAGTGGGTATCAGATGCACAGGAAATGGAGATCCTCCCTCGATGAACGGCTGGAGAAGGGACACGTGGAAGGTGTCATGCACGCGAGCACCCTCCGGCAACCGGAATTTGTATGCGACAGGCCTGATGCGCTCCAAAACCTCAAAGGGCCCATAGTAAAGACGACCCAGTTTGGCAGATAGCGGCTTGGAAACGGAGAACTGCCGGTGGGGTTGCAAACGGAGTAAAACGTGATCACCGACGGAGAACGTGACCTCTCGGTGGTGTTTATTAGCCTCCACACACATGCGTTGCTGCATACTAAGTAAATTCTGCTTGAGTACCCGAAGGAGTTCCTGTCGCTCAGTCAACAAATCATCCAGCGTCTGCACGTTGCTCGAGCCCGTAGTGTATGGTAGTAGGGGGTGGGTCACGGCCATACAAAGCCTTGAATGGGGACATCTTGATACCCTCGTGGTACGTGCTGTTTAATGCCAATTCCGCCCACGGCAGGAGGGCGGACCATTTAGCGGGTCGGGCATGATAAAAAGCGCGTAAGTATTGTTCTAATCCGCGAATACGTACCTTCGTTTGCCCGTCGGTTTGGGGGTGGTACGCCATACTAAGCTTCAATGTGGTGCCACTCAAAGTGAAAAGGGGCGTCCAGAAATTGCTCATAAAGATGGGATCACAATCAGAGACGATCGATTTAGGAAGTCCGTGAAGCCGTACAATCAAATCAACAAACAACGTCGTGGCTTTCGGCGTATCAAACATCGCAGGTAAGGCCGCAAAGTGACTGTATTTGGAAAGCCTATCCACAACAACCATAACCGTGGTGTATCCCCGGGAAGGAGGAAGACCAACAATGAAGTCCATAGTAATATCATCCCAGACATGAACGGGCACTGGTAACGGTTGAAGCAGCCTCCCACTCTTCTGCCTCAAGGCCTTTGTGCCTTGGCAGGTCACACAAGCCCGAACAAACTGCCGGACATCCTTCCGCATTCTCTGCTAGTGAAAGACTTCGGCGAGACGCCGAAACGTGCGATCAATGCCAGGGTGGCCGGCACTTGGCGCTGCATGGAATTTTGCCAAGATCTCTTGTTTCAATGGCGATGTAGTACTCACACATAAACGATGATTGTAATACACCAGCCCGCCATGAATGGAGTACGGCGCTGGTAAAGTCCCTGCGACAGCAGCGGCATGATGCTTTTGAAGGTCCTGCATGGTGTGGTTTTCCTTTTGTAGCCGATCGAGAAGGGTGGGAGGGGCTGTGCATAGTGGAGGAACAGAGAAACAGTGTCTGCCAGCTCCTCGCGTCGGGATAAGGCGTCGGCAACCCGGTTGGCCGTACCTGGTTTGTACTTGATCCGAAATTTGAAACCCATCAATTTGTGCACGTAGAATTGTTGGTCGGGAGTTTGAACGACCTGAAACAGAAGCTCCCGAAGGCTTTTATGATCCGTATGAATCACAAATTCTCTCCCCAAAAGATATTGGCGCCATTTATGCATCGCTTCCACTATAGCGTAAAGTTCCTTACGATAAGCCAACGAGTGAGAACGTCGGATGCCCAATTGCTTGCTAAAGAACGCAACGGGGTGACCTTGCTGCATGAGGACGACGCGATTCCCCCATCAGATGCGTCCGTTTCAATGATGAATTCCTCGGCGAAATTGGGCAACCTCAAAACCGGGGGCGATGTTATGGCAGCCTTTGAGCATTCAAAAGCGGTTTAAGACTTGGGAGTCCACCGGAAGCCTCCCTTTTTAGGGAGATCTGTAAGTGGGCTAGCAAGCATAGCGTAAGAACGAACGAAACACTGATAATAGCCCGTCAACCCGAGAAAGCCTCGTAATTGCTTGATGTTCTTGGGAGTCGGCCACGAAAGCATGGCGACTAACTTACCGGGGTCGGCCTTGAGAATGCTGTTAGTGACTAGGTGTCCCAAATACTCCACTGTGTCCTTACAAAAAGAACATTTTCCCAGCTTAACAAAGAAGTGATGAACCACCAACGTATGCAAAATAGTATCCAAATGTGTATCATGTTGAGCCAACGTAGTACTATAGATAAGAATATCATTGAAGAAGACGATCACGAATCGACGTAAATAAGAGGCAAAAATATGGTTCATCGCGGCCTGAAATGTGGATGGCGCATTTGTTAAGCCGAATGACATTACCAAAAATTCGTAGTGGCCTTCGTGTGTTCGGAAGGCGGTCTTGAAGATATCTGCCGTGTGCATCCGAATCTGATGGTAGCCCGAGCAGAGATCTAATGAAGAAATTCTACCCATTGGTAAGGAAAAATCAATTTCTTGATTTTCAATGGCTAGATTGAAGATAATTAAGCTGATTCAAGAACAAATGACTTGAAGACAAAGTCTGGACCTCACAAATCTAAGAGCTCGCCCAGAATTCCTAAGCATGCACTAGAAGACAAACTAAGTACTCCACTCAATAAAGAGCTACAGTCCAGAATTCTTGAACAACAGCTAGAAGACAGATTCTGTGGAGAAAGGAATCCCTCCTCAACAATTGGGTATGTCCAAACACTCATTCGAATGAGGAATCCTCAATCACAATCTTCATTCAAAATTGAAGCTAGCAAATGCAACGGATAGTCTATTTTGATTCAACGGATAGATTACCCAATCCAGCTATAAATAGCATCCTTGGAAGACTGGAGAAGATATGAGATAGAAAAGCACGAAACACACACAACGAAGAAAACTACAGTTATCTCATTCACAGTTAGCCCAAAAAGCTTGATAAAGAGAGATTTCTAAACTCCTTATCTAGAAGCAAACTTTTCCTCCTTCCAAAGAGCTATAGTGTAAACACTTGAAGGTTTCTTTGCCTCAAGTACCACACCACGTTGAAGGATATAACTTTTAATCAAACTTCTTGATTAAAAGGGGGTACATCAACTTTCTTACAAGTTGATCTTGCAAGTCCTATTGTTCGGATCTTGCAGTTGTTGAAGAAGCGTGACCTTTGAAGGAACAACAAAGCCAGCACGAGTGCAGTAGCAATATTGGCCTTGCGAAGATATACCGTGCAGAAATTCACACAAGTGTAATTGTTGGTTCATTATTCAACAACCAACTACATAGTGGATTTTGAGGATGTAGAAGGATTACCCCACCTTCGAACCTCGTTAAAGTTTGTGTGTGACGAAGCTAAAATATAGCGGTAAGTCAACGAATAACCGAGTTAGACTCGGGTCGTTCTCTCCAGGAGTGACGAAGGGAATAGTTAGTTTTATTATTTATCACAGGTAAATTTATAGTCTAAGAAACGTTAAATAATAAGAAATAAGCTGTTAGAATAATAGACCAACGCTAGAGGGGGGGTGAATAGCGTTTGATCGGAGAAATCGCAGGAATTAAAAATTAAACGAGAAGTAAAGAGAAGAGTAAAAGGCGCACCGAATTTTACCCTGGTTCACCACAACTTGTGGCTAATCCAGCCTCCCAAGAGACTCTCTCGAGCTACACTACTATCTCGTTAAGCTTGCGGGTGCTTAACAAACCGTTACAACTTGAGAGTTCGAGTCACACGAACCTCAACGAATCCTTCAAAGGAAACAGACCTTCCTTTGAATCAACGAGAGAAATACTTTCTCTCAACGTGTCTAAGAACACAAGTACACTCAAGAACGAGACTCTCTTGTAAAGTAGATTATGAGTAAACTAAGTACGCTCAAGAACAACTCAACCTTCACACACAAATGGCTCTAGAAAGCTATGGAAAATTATGATACTTGAATGCAATGAGAGTATGGATGTTGTAAAGTGAATTGATGATAAAAGCAAACCCAAACACCCCTTTTTATAGTGCAAAATTAGGCTCCAACGGACCAATACATTAAAGGGGTGATTAGCTTGATTTATGGGATTGAAAAAATTTGGAATCTGCAGAATATTGGCTTCTCATCGATGTTTAGACTCAACCATCGCTGGTAAGCCAATTTTCCTTCAGTTTTGAAGTCAACGGTTGCCTACCCATCGATGGGTACAAGCTTCCCATCGCTGGGTGGGAGGTTGACTTCCAAACAAGGAAAGAATGAACCTTTAATGACCACCAACGGTCATGCCTTCCCATCGATGGTATACCCTTACCATCGCTGGGTTCCCATCGATGGGACAGGTTTCCCATCGCTGGGCAAGGTCGTTCTGCCTTGTGTTAATTTTGCACCAAGGCTTGAACAGCGATGGGTAGAACTTCCCATTGCTGTTTGGCATGGTTCTGGAAATTTGTTTGGCTAAGGGACCGCTTACCCATCGATGGGAAGATCTTCCCATCGCTGGGTGGGTGGTTAGTCAGGAACCCATGGTTTTTGCCTTAACCACGGCCTAGCCAACCGATGCAAAAACCGACCGAAAAATTCAAAGTTCTCCAAAATAAAAACCAAGTGTTTAGAATACTTATTTGTTGTATTTGGCTTTCTTTAGTTCATTCTGTGAAATTTTTGGTGCAGTAAACTCACTTTTGGTGCCGATCGGCTCAAATACGGCAAAACTTACTAAAAACAGTTTGCTGGTTTTCGCTTTCTACCAAAAGTTCCACAAAAACAACCTCTTGGCAAATTTGTACGGTTTCTCACTTTTGGTTAGTATTTTTCAACTTTTGGTCTTGGTTGGTTTGGACGCCAAAAACCCTAGCCGATAACCGGGAGCCGAACGCCGGTTTCTGAAACCCGAACGCCGGATGGCTTGGTTTTTGGTTTGGGCGAACACCAAGTGTTTTTAATGACTTAAACATGTTTGAAAAACATTTTTATGATTTAGGAAATGTAAAGAAGGATTTTAGCCTAAAGAGCCAATGTGTGAGGGTTGGGTCGGTCTTGATTACAATTATGACCGACTCAACAAAGCTAAGGACTTCGGTCTTCGTTCTTGGTCTCTTTTGGCTCTCGTTTAACTTTCCATTCTTCGCCTTGTATATTCATTGTTTGACTTGATCACGGCGGTTTGGCATTATCAAAACCTGTTACAAAAACTAACACGGCTTTAGTACGAAAACGTGACAAGCCCGTGTTTCAACATAAGCGTCTAAAATAAATGATAAAATAACTTGAGGAGTTAAGATCAGAATGTGGACTTAACACACAATCAATAATTTAGAAACAGGTACGAATCGAACATGTATATGGGCTAAGAGAATAATTTTGGATTAAATTAGCTTCTTAATTAATTTGATTTTATATCAGTAACTTATCAATTTTTCAGGCCTCATTAATGTGTCTAAATATGGTTGGCTAGATTATTTTTCTTAACTCATAGACAAGCTAGATAAATAATCTCCAAAGATTAATTAATAAATTGGCCAGATCTATTAATTAGTGAATCTCATTTTAGACAATTGAATCAAATTAATCAAGTTACTAACTTAATTTTAATACTAATCATTAGCCCATACCCTTAATTCAATTCATACCTAAGTATTAATTTAGCCACTAAAAGCCATTAGATCACAATTTAGACTAAGTAATAAAAGATAATTTTATTAATAAAGGAAAAGTTTACAAGAAAGCTTATAGATCTTGAAGAACGGAATACAAATCGCACAAATCTTCAGATCAACACTTTGAAATGATGAAATTTAACCCACTCAAATTTAGTACAATATTGAAATTAAAAATGGGAAGATTTTTACCCCAAAAAGGGGAAAAAACCAAGGGAAATCGCATGGTAAAGAAAAATGAAGCCGCAGGGCTTTTATAGGAGATGGCCGGCCCATAAGCGGGCAGATCCACGGCCGCCGGTCAACCCGCCGCCGCCACTGCCGATTTCTCCAGAAACGCTGGAATTCGCTGGGCTCCGTCGATAGGCGGGCAGGCAGGCGGTCGCCTGTCAGCCCGCCGACGCTCTCCATCGTGTTGGAGCCTTTTCTCGCCGTCGCTGCCTTCTGACCGGCGGCCAGGCAGGCTGCCGCCGGCCAGGTCGCCTGTCAGGCCGCCAAAATCTGCCGATGCTACCTTACTCAAAATTTCGTTCCGAACATTTTTTCCTTCTGCACCGACTTCTAATTTCGCACCATTTGTGAGATAGAATTGTTTTTCTATTAAAATTTACTCTTTTTACTCTATTCTTGGCCCAATTTTATATATT